TTCTTCAAATGCTCCACTGAGGCCCGGTTTGGAAATGGCGGCCCGTCCAATTTCGATCAATGGCCATTTTGTATATTTTCACAGTGTTTTTTGCATTCAACTGACTGTTGTCGGAAGGTCGTTTCACCTACAGCTACAAGATTCTCTGGGCATATGTAGCAGGTCAAGGCCATGAAGGCCGACAAGCGTAGGGCGAGGACCCGTCCATCGCCGCTTGCGGCTTTAATTTATTTTAAATCTTCAAGTAGATTTCAGGAAATGACCGAGGTGTCTGTTTGTAGCTGATCGAGGAGCGGGCGCAGCTTGAGTCGAGGCTTCAGGCGGAGACGGAGCTGTGCGCTGAGGCCGAGGAGATGAGGGTGCGACTGGAGGCCAAGAAGCAAGAGCTGGAGGAGGTGCTGCATGAGATGGAGTCCCGGCTGGAGGAGGAGGAGGACCGCAGCAACGCCTTGCAGCAGGAGAGGAAGGACATGGAGCAGCAGCTACAGGTTGCACACCATATTACTGCTATTACATGAAAAAAAAAAGTAGCAACAAAAATAATAAAAGTAAGGTTAGTAAAGTAAGAAAACCACTAAAAATCAGTCAAGCAATTAAGATTAAAGACAAGATGAATCAACTGAAACAAGAATAGCTACAGGTAAAATACAATGAAACTGAAAACTTAGGGGGCTTTTTTTGTGTTATTCCAGGTTGCAGGTGCACAGTGAGTAAAGTAGAGGAAGTTTAGCAGGAGTAGCTGCAATATAATTCAGCTGCCTACTTCAGCTTTATAACAATTTTATAATTCCATAAATTATATATAGAAAAAATGAGGATTCACTTCTCATTTATTTTCCAAAATTGAAACTCTCTGTGACTGTTAGTCACAGCTGCGCTGTTGTTTTTTTGTTTCTTTGTTTTTTACCAGAAACTCACAATTTGTTTTGATTTGTTTTGGCAATTTTTTAAATGAGAGCAGTAGAATAAAGGGCCTGAAGAACTGAAATATCAGGAATTTAGTCTAGATTTGGTCATGTTCCCTGAATATGTCACAAATGAGTAGGTTAAGGACAACTGTAAAGTTAAAAACCAACAATTTATTTTTAGTTTTTTTTGCCAAACATCATGTCTTTCGGGGATAACTTTTTGGAGTTTAGAGGGTTAAAATACAGCAATTGTACCCAAGTGTACCCATTGTGGTACATACTAAATTATTACTAATATATTACTAATATTACTATAATATTACTAATGCATTTTTAGTAACTGGGTAAATAAATGGATCTAATATTGATAGAATTTTCTCCTTATACCGTTTATATTTGTTACATACTTTTACCGGAGCCATGAATTGTTGCCTCACTGTAATGTTGCGCTGCAGATGATGGAGACCCACATAGCAGAGGAGGAAGACGCTCGGCAGAAGCTGCAGCTGGAGAAGGTGGCTGTGGAAGGAAAGGTGAAGAAACTGGAGGAGGACGTTCTGATCATGGAGGACCAGAACAACAAACTGCAGAAGGTATAAAAGGCCAGTTATGGTGGAGTGTTTCATACACAGTTCGTTCTATATTCATGAACCTTCTTATGTCTGTAGGAGCGAAAACTCCTGGAGGAGAGGATGGCTGACATGAGCTCTAACTTGGCCGAGGAGGAGGAGAAGTCTAAGAATCTGACCAAACTCAAAGCCAAACACGAGTCCATGATCTCTGATCTGGAGGGTCAGTAAGCACTTATCTCACTGAAATCCATTCAGTTTGACTCGATAATATTGACTTCTAATCAGATATGTAGAAGATTTCTAGGCTTTACTAAATATTAATTTTACAATCTATCACTCTGAATACAAACAAGATACACATGAAAATACATACAGATGAAAAAGTTTAAAGCATTGCCCAGAGGAGGAGTTGGAACTCTTCAGCCTCCTTTGAAAAATGCATGATTATCAAATTTAGACAGTAAAATTGAATTTTTACATGTGTGAATTCTGTTTAGTGAACCAAATAGTCCAGGTTATCTTGTACTTGTTATCAAGGTATCTAGTGATTTTAATTGCACATGCTTTGTTTTACTTGGTGTGTCCAGTGCGCATGAAGAAGGAGGAGAAGGGTCGTCAGGACATGGAGAAGGCAAAAAGGAAGGTGGAGGCTGAGCTGGCCGATCTGCAGGAGCAGCACGCCGACCTTGAAGGTCAACTAGGAGATCTCCGAGGCCAGTTTGCGGCCAAGGAAGAGGAGCTCCAGGCCACACAGGGCCGGTGAGAGGGACTATGCTGCAGATGATGCTTGTCATAAGGAAAATCAGTAATTTATAGATTAATTAGCTGTTCATAAACTATTATTTGTAGTGTAGGATTGATGTAAATGCATTGATGCAGAAATAAGGAGCAGAAATGTTCTTCTAGCCTAGAGATTATTCTTCTCAGTACTCTAGGCCATTACTGAAACATGCGTAGACAAAAACAAAACACCTGAAATTAAATGGATATAAGAATAATGTTCTAAACACAAACACAATCATTATCTTCCTAACAAATTTCTTTCGTGTCCACAGCTTGGAGGAGGAGAGCAACCAGCGTGGGGCAGCTGTGAAGCGGGTTCGAGAGTTGGAGACTATGCTCTCAGAGCTGCAGGAGGATTTGGAAACAGAAAGGGTGGCGAGAGGGAAGGCCGAGGCAGCTCGACGGGATCTAGGGGAAGAACTTAATGCTCTACGCACCGAGCTGGAGGACAGTCTGGACACGACTGCTGCCCAGCAGGAGCTACGGTCTGTATCAGCCAATGTAGCCCACATACACTGTATATCCTCTGAATGAGCCACATGAATTGATGTATTGAAACTGGCACTAAATCATAAGGGTTTTACTATTTATGTAAAGACTTACATGAGTAATAAGAAGGGATTAGAATGGATGATAAAATATTAAAATGGAAGATCAACAAAAAGCTAAAATAGAAACCTGTAAAAAGCACAATGAACCTTCAGAAAAATTGGAGAATGCTGACAAATACAGTAAGTTGTCACAACTTTAATTTAATAAGAGACAATCGCCAACAAAACAGTTTAAGATTTTTCTTAACCACCTTGAAAAAAGATATTAATATACAATTGGTGTCTCATTATATTACATGCTTTCAGGAGGTGACCAGTGGTGTGTTTAAACACCAAGTAAACAACAGTGTCATCTGCATAAAACTTTGTCAGCATGTGCCTAGCTGCTGTAATCAGGTCTCCAGGGGATGTTATGGTTGTATGAGATGAGCTGTGGTGACGTGATGTTTGTGGTTGGCAGGGCAAAGCGAGAACAAGAGGTGGCCATGTTGAAGAAAGCCATGGAGGAGGAGGGACGGAGCCACGAGGCCCAAATCCAGGACCTGAGACAGAAACATGGCCAGGCTGTGGAGGAGCTCTCGGAGCAGCTGGAGCAATCCAAGAGGGTCAGCTCACCTAAATAACTCAAGAGCCTGTTTCTCATAGTCACAGCTATCTATTTGTTTACTGTCACTTTGCTTTAAAAATATTTAACAATTTGTCTGCGTGCAGGCGAGGGCCGGTCTGGAGAAAGCCAAGCAAGCTCTGGAGAAGGAGACGTCAGATTTGAGTGCCGACCTGAGATCCCTGGCCAGCGCCAAACAGGATGTGGAGCACAAGAAGAAGAAGGTGGAGGGTCAGCTGAACGACCTGAACTCTCGCTTCAACGAGAGCGAACGGCAGAGGAACGAGCTGACGGAGCGAGTCTCAAAGATGACTGTGAGTCATACAAATAGTAATTGATACCAAAGCATTTCTTAGTATATGAAATTTGTGCTGAATTGAAATATATATTAAACTGAAATGGTTCCATCAACAACACGGACAATTGAACAGTGAGCAAGTGAAGGATATCGGGAGATCATTTACAAGTTATTCCTGTTTTAATTGCCAGGACAATCTTTGCTGTGAAATGCAAGCTAAATAAAAGGCTATTAACAACACAGACTAATGAATAAACCCATGAAAGCACCAGTCAAATATCTTTATGTATTTCACAAACTAAGCTTAGAACTTACAAACGTACTTATCTAAAAGCACAAATTACTTAAACTATGCAAACATTTACTTATGGACTGATTTATTAAAGTGAAGTCAAAGAAATGTGACAAACCCATTTAGATGTGATGTTCTGAGACACAGAGCAGGCTGTTGGGAAATAATAGTTATGTTTGGTGCTGCAAAATACTCTCTAGTCTAAAAGGAGATGAATACTGGGAGTTAGAACCAGCGTTAATTGTAATGCCTTATTTAGATTTAGTTTTAATCTTTTGACGAAAACTTTAGTCATTAGAGTTGTTGTCGTTCTAGTGTAGTTCTAGTAGTCCCTCTGCTCTGCAATGACACAGCAGATGGACTCTGCTCAATAAATCCAGTTATCAGTTATCAGCAAACATTTTTCTTCAGTTTTCTTTGATGCCAATTATCACTGACTAAAATGGGGCCCGAAATTGTCATGTCGTAGAACGAATGACAGCTAAAGCTGTGTAGAATGATGATTTCACAAAATCTCATCACATGTGGTGTGAGCTCTGTGTTGAAGAGATAACACTACACACTCAGGATTACCATAAACTTAAATCTTTCTACAGTCTCTCTTTTTCTTGCTCTTCTCTGCCAGATGGAGCTGGACAGTGTGACCGGTCTGCTGAACGAGGCTGAAGGAAAGAACATCAAGCTGAGTAAAGACGTCTCCAGTCTGTCCTCTCAGCTCCAGGATGCCCAGGTGATACAGAGATACCACAGAGATACACTGCAGCTCACTACTGCGATTCATAAAGTCATATTATTTGTGTCTTCTTACCTGTGTTCTCATTGTTCTCCTCCAGGAGCTGCTATCAGAGGAGACCCGTCAGAAGCTGAATCTGTCTGGACGTCTCCGTCAGATGGAGGAGGATAGGAATAGCCTGATGGAGCAGCTGGAAGAGGAGACTGAGAGCAAACGGGCAGTGGAGAGGCAGGCGTCCAGCCTCAACATGCAGGTCAGTCTCTCAGTTCAGAGACCCATCAGGGTTGTTACACATTTAAATAAACAGCTGACTACTTGTAAAACTCATTTTAATATAATTAGATTGATCTGACTTGTTTGAAACGGCCAGCTGGTATTTCTCCTGCAGGATGACTAGTGCTGTGAAAAAAATACTCAACATCAGATAACTACATTGAAGTTGATTTTTGTTTATATAACTCTAAAGTCCATAAGTCAGTAACCTGGAACTGGATTACACCCTGTCTAATTCACCCAATGAAACACTTGGCTCACTGGTATTTCTCAACCTGTTTTTCTTTAACAAACCTCTGTGTAAAAATGTAAAAAAAAAATAAAAAACAGTCTTACATACTTGCTAGAGATCTATATAAGGGATGCTGAAGTGATAGAAGGATAACAGTAGCATCACGTAGTGTCGCTTTAAAAAGGAACATTACCTCCTGATATTTTGAATAAACACTGATGAAGAAGCCTGTTTTTATTACCTTACTGTCAAAGTTACATGATGGTGCAGCACCTGGGTTACAGTTTTAGTGCAGAACTGCAGTTTCTGAATACTCTGAGGATGTGTCACCCTTGAAGGTGTTCAAGACGTGTCCAATAAATTATGGCTTTTTCCAGATTTACAACTTAAGGAAGGCAGAAGATCTCACAGATGTCTTTAACGTGTCACTTCAGCTGAAAAACTAACAAAAACACAGGAGAGGGCTCATCTGTAGGCCACACTTGATAACACGACTGTGCAGCTTTGTGCAATAACCACAAGCACGTGATTGTAATTAGCAAATAATGTGCTGACTGACTTAGGTTTGGTAGGTGTTGCTCTGTGAGAAGTTACAGCAGCAGTGTGCAACATGTGGCAGTAAAAACATGGAATGTATCAGTGTACTTTATGTGCTTGGTTATTGTTATTCATTTTTAAGAGGTTACAAGCAATAGAATTTGAATATAAAGTATAGCTTAAACTTGGGGACAAAAACTCTAGATTTAAAACCTTTCTTTTAAGTTGTCCCCATTTCCCCCTCTTTCAGCTGTCTGACCACAAGAAGAAGCTGGATGAGATGTCGGGGACGGTGGAGATGCTAGAGGAGGGGAAGAAGCGTCTGCAGCGTGAACTGGAGTCGGCCAACACAGAGTACGAGGAGAAGGCTTCAGCCTACGACAAGCTGGAGAAGAGCCGGAGCCGGATGCAGCAGGAACTGGAGGACGTCCTCATGGACCTGGACAGCCAGCGGCAGCTCGTCTCCAACCTGGAGAAGAAGCAGAAGAAGTTCGATCAGGTCTGGCAGCTCCAGGATGGAGGGGAAATAATGTTCTGAAGGGTGATAGAGATGTACAGCCTAGAATACAGCAATTACATGTTTACAGTTCTTGAGATTGACAAATGAAGGCACTTTAATGGCATGTGAGTGCTACTCTGTCTTTAGGCAGAACTGTGTAAATGAATGTTTGAAACCCTTCACAATAACTGTTGTCAGACAAATCCAGTGTTCACTGAGCCTCCACCTCTGATCATGTCTGTTTTGTCTTTGTGTTCATCAGATGCTGGCAGAGGAGCGAGCTGTGTCGTGTAAGTTCGCAGAAGAGCGCGATCGGGCGGAGGCAGAGGTGAGGGAGAAGGAGACGAGGGTGTTGGCCGTGACCAGAGCGCTGGAGGAGAACCAGGACGCTCTGGAGGAGGCAGAGAAGACCATAAAGTCGCTCCGAGTTGAGATGGAAGATCTCATCAGCTCCAAGGATGACGTGGGAAAGAGCGTAAGAGGCAGCACGTGAACATGAATGAATGAAAGATTCTCGCAGGTTTCGACTCTGATTATTTCTGATCATTTGTCAGGTCCACGACTTGGAGAAGGCGAAGCGAGGCCTGGAGGCCATCGTGGAGGAGATGAGGACGCAGATGGAGGAGCTGGAAGACGAGCTGCAGGTGGCCGAAGACGCCAAGCTGCGTCTGGAGGTCAACAGTCAGGCGCTCAAAGCTCAGCATGAGAGGGAGCTGCAGGCCCGCGATGAGATGGGAGAGGAGAAGAGGAAGCAGCTCCTCAAACAGGTGGAGCATCACCGACTGCTTCTGTCCTTTTAAAATTTAAAGTCTAATAATGCTTTCCCTGTAAAGTTACTACCTCCTATTCTTTGTTCTGTCTAAACTATTTTACTATCAAGAGCTTCGGCTTCAAAATGTATCTGCACAAGCTAAAATCATGCAAACATATTGAGATTAGAATAAAAAGCAGTTTAGTGTGCATTAATCAAATTCCATTAACTGGAGGATTTTATCAGATTTCTCTAGACTGTTTCAAAAAAACACAAAACAAATGAGCACTCAGAGTGTAAAGTTTGAAGTCACAGTAAATGTAAACTTAACCTCGTAGAAAATGTAAATGTCTATTAAGTTAAAATCAACCTAAGATAAACCCAAAGCTGCAACTTTTCACATTAGAGAATTTTTGGCATTCTTACCTAAAAAAAAGACCCCAAAAAGTTGCTGACTAATTTGTAATTGTTCCAGCTCTAATCCACATTAGAAACACAATGTGACACTTTTGTCCCGTCTCTTTCTTTCTCTGTCAGGTGCGAGAGCTGGAGTCGGAGCTGGAGGAGGAGAGGAAACAGCGAGGTCAGGCATCCGCCGGGAAGAAGAAGCTGGAGGGGGAGCTGAAGGACATGGAGGACCAGCTGGAGGCCACCAGCAGGGGGCGTGAAGAGGCGCTCAAGCAGCTGCGCAAAATCCAGGTCAGCACACACACAAGTTTTATTTTTAAATGATCAGAATTTCGTGCTCGAAAGGCAGACTGATTTTTGGTTTCAGGCAGAACTTTATCAATTTGTAAGATCATCTACTGAATAAATAAAAATATAGATGTATCTCTCTTAAACAATGACCTCATTTTTTCTCGTTCGGACAGTTCCTATCTTAAAAAGATCTGATATGACATATTTGTAAAACCAGTTAAAACGCCACGGGGCCCCTCTTTGCTGTGCTCACAGGGCCAGGTGAAGGACCTCCAGAGGGACCTGGAAGACTCTCGTGCAGCCCAGAAGGAGGTTCTCGCCACAGCCAGAGAGTCTGAGCGCAGATCCAAGGCCATGGAGGCCGACATCATCCAGCTGCACGAGGTGAGACTGTGTGGGGTTTGTTGTTTCCCATCTTGTGTCATGATTTGAAAAAACATCCTAGCCACTGAAAAATCAGATTCTTACTGACCTTATTTCTTTTAGCTGCACGTGTAAATTGTAAATGATCTGTTTTGTTCGAATGAATTTATAGTATGAGCTTTGTATTATCTGTGTTTAGCGAAGGGATGTTCCTTTAGACTGTTAAATGACAAAGCTTGCTGTATACTTTATTTTTGTTATTGTTGGCAAATCCCATGAAGACACAAAACCATCCATGTCTTCATTTGTCTCGCAGTAGGCTGACTTTTATTATCAGCAGCAGATTCATCCACATTTACAGTGTTTGTGGCAGGAGGACGATGTAATAAACGACAGTGTGTGTTCATCGTGGATCATTGATGTGTTTTAATAGTTTTGGGAGCAACAGTAAAGCCCAGAGGAGTAAAGTTATGTATCAGGCTTTGGTGTTTTCATCCTGAATGACATCTCAAAAACTGACATCATCCTCTCCTTCCTCCATTCATCCAGATGTTGGCAGCAGCTGAGAGAGCTCGCAAGCAGGCAGAGACGGAGAGAGACGAGCTGTCTGAAGAGCTGGCCAGTAACTCCTCTGGGAAGTAGGTTTCTCATCTTATTAATATATCTACAGTTTTGTAGGTGAAGAGCACGAGTCTCATTGGGCGACACTGTACCCAACAGACCTTTATCCTACAGGGGGTTTTCAGTCATTACTTTTAGATACCTTGTTATTCATTAGACCTGATGGAAGAAAAGTCATGTTTTCCAGAAAGTAAAAACAATTATCTCCAGGAGACCCAGCTGATAGTTGCTGAGATGTGAATTAATTGATTGATTTATGAATTTAAGGTAACGTTGTTAAAGTCAACATGTTTTGCTGTTGCCACAATCAACTATTCAATTAGAATTTTTTGGATTTAAAGTTGAATATATGAATGAAATGTTTAACCTGATGGTATGAAAAGTCTGAGAATGTTCGTGGTTTGGCGTAATAATTGGAATGTCTTCATTTCTCCATCCTCCTCAGGTCGCTGCTGTCGGACGAAAAGCGCCGCCTGGAGACGAAGATCAGCCAGCTGGAGGAGGAGCTGGAGGAGGAGCAGGCCAATGTGGAGAGCCTCAACGACCGGCTGAGGAAGAGCCAGCAGCTGGTAGGTGCAGGGTGGAGGAGAAAAGGTCCACTTTGAACTTCAGTGTTATTGTTTTTCACTTAGTAGGAACTAAAAACTGTAAAGAACATGCATAACAAAATAATAATGGCTTGCAAGCTCAGACGAAACTAGCAGAATTGTTTTGGGTTCAATTTAGAGTTTTGTTTTCCTCTCCATCACATTACACATATGATGGAGACAAAATCAAACTAACAGGTTCCTCATCTCTGTGTAGTTGGAGCAGCTGGGAGGAGAGCTGACAGCAGAGAGAGCTTCCTCCCAGAGCAGGGAGGGATCCAGGCAGCAGCTGGAGAGACAAAACAAGGAGCTGAAGGCCAAACTGCAGGAGATGGAGGGGCAGGGCCGCTCAAAACTCAAGTCCTCCATCGCTGCTCTGGAGGCCAAACTGAGAGAGGCCGAAGAGCAGCTGGAGATCGAGAGCAGGTAACAGTGCATGGTGGGAAATGGAGTGAAAATGCAAAAGGGAAATTCAAACTCACATTAGCAAGTAGATCAAAAAGGAATACAGTAAGAGATGACTGTGTTATGTTGTGTAGAGAACGGCAGACCAGCGCCAAGAATCTGCGTCAGAAAGAGAAGAAGCTGAAGGATTTCACCATCCAGATGGAGGATGAGAGGAAGCAGGCGCAGCAATACAAAGACCAGGTGACTGTGATGGTGATGTTAGCCAAAACAAACTGGATTTATTATAGGTCGGGTCACATACCTGGGAATTAAACTGCTGGTCTGTTTTTCTGCTCTGTGCAGGCGGAGAAGGGCAACATTCGAGTGAAGCAGCTGAAGCATCAGCTGGAGGAGGCAGAGGAAGAGGCGCAACGTCTGGTGGCGGCCCGCAGGAAACTGCAGAGGGAGCTGGATGAGGCGACTGAGGCCAACGATGCTCTCAACAGAGACGTGGCTTCACTCAGGAGCAAGCTGAGGTAACAGGGATCCCTCCGAACACAGAGAGTGAAGAACAGACAAAACTGTGACCAGAAATGTGTTGGAGTGAGTGTAGGACAAAAATACATCTCAGCTTCTTCTTGAAACAAACCAGCTAAAAAAAGACATCTTCTTCTCTCATCTGGAGTTTAGACTGAGACTGATATTTTTCAGGCCAATTTTTTCTAAATAGATTATTTTCTGATCTAGATTTTTTTGGTGGGAGTTGCTGAGTAATGAAATGTCCGCCTTCTCTTGAATATATAATCCAAAAATAATTACGAAATCATGAACTGAGCAGCCAAGAAAATCCAGACCGTCTTAGGAACTGTTTTATTCAAGAACTCTTTTTTTCTACAAACTGCACCCACAAGCTGTACACAGAAGGAAGCGAGCATGTTCCCACAACAGTAGTGCAGGGTGTATAGTAAATACAAAAGCTTCAAATGTTAAAAAGAAATCTAATTCATTCATACCTCTACATTTTTACAATTAAATCCTTACATTTGTGTACTGCCTGAGTTAAGAGCTGTGAATAAGGAGCCTCGCAAAGGTCACAGAGACAATTTGTGACTTGCATTATTCCCTCACTTATTACCTACCTACTTATTACCTCCTTATTGAATTTCCCTTCTGGGATAAATAAAGTATTTTTCATTTCATTCATTTCATTTCACAATAAGCTTCTACTCAGTAAGGAAGGAATGTGAAGGAATTCAAATCAAAAACATTTCACTGTGACCTTTAGTGTGCTCTGTAAGTGAAAGCATTGTGATTTTAATTTCCTTTCCCTCCTTTCATGTCTGGCTGCTCCTGTTTCACACCCGTCTTCAGACACTCCTGATCTGCAAACTGTCCTTAAAGCTTCCTGGGAAAATTCTCTTCCTTAACAACCTTTTCCATTTTTTTTCATTTCCTTATCGCTCTCCTCCTCCTCCCTCCGGCTCTGCTTCAAGATTTCAGGGGCTTTAACTTTTACAAAAAAATAAAAATCTTACCTTGCAACAAGCTTTATTTTCCCTTTCTTCCTCTGTCCTGCTGACCCTCCTCTTCCTCCTCTTTTCTCTTCCTCCTGATGTGTCGGGTGTTCCCAGGCGTGGCGGCGGCAGCGGCGGCGGCAGTGAGGCGGTGTTCAGCAGCCCCAGTCCTCGGAGCAGCAGTGGCGCCGGCGGCAGCAGCAGCATCAGGAGCTTGGGGCTGGGAGGCAGCATCAGTCGGAGGAGCACCATCAAAGAGAACTCAGTGGAGATGCACGAGGAAGAGCCTCGCTCCCCATCTCCTCCTGCCTGCACCCCACCTCTGGAGGCCCACGAGGAGGCCTACACCTGCTCTGCCGACGAGTAGCTGGACCAGACTCTTTACTATGACGGGATTTCAAGTGAAGTGAGCTGTTCCAAAAATGTCTTTACACTTTATGTTTGAAAATTTCCCCTTTTAATAATAATGCTCCAAAACCACAGGACAGTCCTGGATATTTTAACAATTACATAATTACAAGCTATTTGAGGGGAATGTAGGTGGGGGAAAATAATTATTCCCCAAAAAAACAGCACCAAGAAAGTGTAGGCTACAAGTTACTGTGTCAAAAACACACAAAAATCAACACTCTCCCTACCACACTAATACCAATGTCATTCTCATAATAGTGTTCTATTTATTCTCTAAATTATTTTTGAACATTTTAAGACATATGATCTGTAAACTTTGTATTTTTCAAGGAAAAATGTCAAACCTCTGCTTGTTCCAACCTTTCAGATGTGAGAATTTGCTGCTTTTGAATTGTTGATGGCATAAAGAACATTATGTTGGCCCTACTTACTGACATTTTATATAAACAACTCACTTATAATTTAATCAGGAAAATATTCAACAAGATTTATGAGAAAAATATTCATTTGTTTAAATCATTTTACGTCACTTGTAATTCACTTATAGCTCTATGAAATCTTTTTTTTTGGTCCTGCCTCGTGACTCTTTCTGCCCTAAATATGCACATTCTTCTCAAATCATTGTTTTTTCATTTTAAATAACTTTTGATGCGCTATTTGTTCACCAGTTAGGAATTTTCCACCTTTCCATCTGAGAAATTAGTTTTTTTTTTTGTGAAATTGCTCCAAAAACTACAGAATTCCTACATAAACTAAAGTAAAGCTGCTGGATTTATCTAAAATCTAAAAGCAAGTTGATCTTAATTTCTGCCTTTGTGTATAATTTCTACATTTCTTTTCAATTTCATGCCAACCGAAGTTTCAAAATGCTTCAACAGACAGTACTGTCTACATTATTCCAGAGTTACAGTGGATACATTTAGTCACTATTTATATTATTAGCAGCTTCAATCCAAAAGTACCACCACCCTTCAGAAGTAGTGTATTCTCGTAGTTTAATCGTAGCAACTGGACTTGCTTGAGTTCCTTGAAGACGTTTCACCTCTCATCCAAGAGGCTTCATCAGGTGTGACTGACTAGTTGGGAGTTCCAGATACTTATATTCTTTCGGAGGCATTAACACTTGAAGAGAACACTTAGAGACTCAAGCAAGTCCAGTTGCTACGATAAAACTGTGAGAATAACCATGACTTGGATGGCTGAGAATCTTCTCAGACACTTTACCCACCTATGTTTATATCCCCTCACAACTAAAGCTAAACATAGCACAACTTCGGAGCCCCTCAAGTTTGGCAAATTCACATCCCCCCCAGACAACTTAACACCCATTCACACCTCAAGACAGACGACTCTAACATCTCCCCTCCAGTCAGAACTGAAGAAGCCTTTAAGATAAGAAATGCGTTCATCAACCAAACGCATAGCCCTTTATTTAGTACTTAAACATGAACCATCTGTATTTATCTTCAAGATTAAACAGTAAGAAATTGTTAGAAACTAAAATTAAGCTCTCAAGACCCATACAAGTCTGCCATTCAGTGTAAACGCTGCAATTAATTGAAAGTTAAAAGCATTTTGAATTACTGGAGGTTCTCACAACAGCTGAAAGAGCTGCTGACACATCACACAAGTTCACCCAAACCTCCCATCATGGGAGGTTTGATTTCCTTTGTTTGGATGTAACAACAGACAGTTGTTGTTTAACCGGCTGATTCCAATTGGTTTAGCTTTAATTAGTAAAATGACCTCTTTATTCAATAAAATAATTAGGAATTGAGCACAAAGGAAGTATGAATGCTGTAGATGTTAACTGTCTGGAATCAAATTATCAATTTGTCATTTTGTTAGGAGAGATGAAGCCAATAAAAATATTTTCAGTGTTTGTGGACTAATATAACTTAATTTATGTGAAATAATATATTTATATTTACTTCATATTCCAGGTAGTTTAAATAATTCCCATATATACAGTCAGTTTGTGCCTTTTAGACATCATCATTATGTCAGACACAGAGCTTACAGAGTTTAGGGTTGTATATCTTAGAAATCGTTGTTCTAAAGTAAATCTACTATAATCTAAATAAACATTCTAAACAGCTGCAGGAAATATATTCTCTGCTGCATAATATAAAGAACATTTAACCTTTTTTTTTTTTTTAGGTTGAAACTGTGTGTCCTAATCTAAATGGCCACAAGTGACAGATCTCCTTAGATGTTTTGTGCAACAAGAAAAATATTAAGATGAATGTATGACGATATGAAATAGGCAAAGAAACATCAATACAACAATTTAAATGATGATGACATTTTTAAATTTAGGTTTTTGTATGTTCAAATTCAGCAGGGAAATGTGTCACTTGTGGCCGCAATCTTTGGATTACAAAATAAAGCTGCAAAATTTTTGGAAAGCGTCTTTGAGTATCTTAAGAAGCGCTATATAAGTATTATGTATTATTATTATTATCAACATTAAAATGTGAATTATTTCAATCCAGAGTGTTTTTTTCATCTAGATGATTAGAAAAGTACGAGGATAATTAAGTCTGTGTTTAAGAGCATCCTGTTTTGTTTTTGTTTTTCTGAACAATTACTAGGTTTTTCAGAAAATTATACTCAGTTCTCTGTGATCAGAGCCTACTGGTGATAAATAAAAGGCACAAACTGGGACTAGTTCTTTATGCACTTCATTGGAGGGTTTGCAGAATATGTTAAGAGAATCTGTTTGCTTTGAAACTGAATGTAAAATTCTATTTGTAGCCCAGGTGTTTTATATACATTCTTGAGATTGTGTGATTTTAAACCTCACAGATACACAATATATACTTATAATAAAAGTGACGTGTACTACGACTGCTGTGGCGCAGGACTGTCTGCTTTGTGAACCAAAGAAGTGCTATTAAATTGCTACCAAACCATTACTTACTTGATGTCTGTTCACTCCCTGCAATGAATCAAATCAGTACAACTTTATTTCTTTCCATTTCAAGTTTAATTGCTTTTTTCAGAAGCATCATAAGCAGCACTGAAGGTAAAAACAACACATGACAGAACAAGTCTTGAGCACTTCATCTGTGAGCATGTAAGTAGTTTTTTTAACAGTCATATAAGGCAAAAGAAAAAAAACCCACCAAGCCTCATTTTCCACCTCTACCTTCCCATGTTTACCTTAAAGGGAAAGGCCCAGCATTCTGCTTTTGCTTTACATTCGCCCTGAGCAGCTACTTGTAAATCATTCCTGCCTACAGACACAAGCAACTGAACATACATATATTGGACCTATGTTAGCGACCCTACAGTAGAAGTACAGTAGATAACACTACACGTCAACCTAATACTTTTTAACATAAAACACAAGTAGCCTTCACTGAAGTATTTGCATCTCCTCATTAACAGAAGACGTTTCCAATTTCACTCCTGGGAAGACAGAAGTAGAGCTCTGCAGAGGGATTTACTTATTTTAAACAACTTCTCCACAGTCTAAAAAGTTGCTTCCTCTACTTGTCTGCCACACAATAATGGAACAAATCTCCACTATGAGTGCCTTACATCTTAATTTTATGCCATATTATCAAATTATTGGACAGATCAAACAACATATGGACAGTTCTCCTAAGCTTACAGTCTTATCAGTATTTGACACTAAAATGACCTGAGGGTGCTGCTACAGCAGAGGCCATTAAAATCCTAAAGGTTCATTCTCTAGGGGACATAAGTGTGATCAGTAAATCTGATGGCAATACGCCCATTAAATTGTGATATTTCTAGTGTAAAGGAAGGAAAGAAAGAGGGTCTCTACAAGAACTAGTGTTCATCCTCTGGGGACTAAGAACAGCCACAGTAAATTTTACTACAATGAGGCCATTATAGCCTAACAACGCATGACAAATAGTCTGAGACCTCTCTGTTCGTTTGACATTCAAGGGGCGCTATCAAATTACAAAAACAAAAATGTCTCTGGATGCAAAAATATGAACCAAGAAATTAGAGCAAAAAAACACAGGATGTAGCACTCATGTATGCAAGTGCCTCAACAGTGCTCCTTTCTACAGCTATATCAATGCAGACTCATTTTAGATAATCAGCCCAGTGCAGGCAACGCCAGGTGTAAGTCTGAATGGGATCCTGGGCCATGTCTAATGCTGTCAAAGAAGATGTCCTGTGTTTTGTCCACCTAAGTCTTCTTTAGGAAAACAAATGATCTGATCAATTTCAGGAGTCACTGTATGCTACTTGATTTGTATACCAATAACATTAGTTTCTAAACTTAATCTTTTTTTTTTTTAACCAGGAGCTTTAGTATTAAGAAGCTGGTGAAAAATAATCAAAATAGCTTTATCTTTTGTTACCATGTATAAAATCACACTCGCTGCGTATGACGAGAACCTTTGGCACAAATATCTTACCTTCCTTTCTGGTTGTAGCTCTAGTGGGTCATTTAAGTAATCATAGGTATCTTATCACTTGGACTGAGACCAGCGCTAACAAAACTTAAGGACATTGCTCCTGATGACTTCACCGCAAACTAATAAAACTGGTACATTCTGGTACATTTTCATTTCAGCCATACACAGAGAGAAAGCAATCAGTCATCTTGAAAATACTGAAAAATAGTAATTTTTGCAAACAACAGCCAGAGCACCAGAGCGGTGAGCATGAACCATTCATTCAAAGAGCCTTACAACTAAAACTAGACAGGTAAAGCTAAACAGGGCTGAAAAGCTACAGAAAACTGCAGAGGTGGTGAAAAATATTTTCCTTGCAACAAGCCACATATTTCATATTTAACTAATTGTTATAAAAACACACTAATAAGGCAGCTTTAAGATGCACAACCCCTCATGGCCACTGTGTGTGTTGCAAGATCCCTTCAAAAATTCTCTTGTGAAATGCAAAGTATCTGCCCCCCCTCCCATAACATACTTTTAATAACTAATGTCACTTTGAATAACATCTGACAAAGTAATGAAAACACATTAAAACCTTGTGGCTCACACAGAGGTGCAGCATGTTTGCTTATCCAACGTCAGCTTCACTCACACTACTCCTTCTTTGCAAGCAGTAAATTCAAATTCCACACCTCAGTAAAGTATGGGTGGGAACACAGATTTAAAGTTTCATGTCCTTCTGCAGATTATGTTTAGGGAACTAGCTAATCCGCAAAACCCTAACATTCACTTTCTCTGGGCTACAACATGTGCTTATTGGGGAAATCTACTACATTTTTTTTATTCTATTTAGTCTAAAATTAGTGGCAATTTGTTGTTGTTGGAATTTCTTAGGCAACAAGTTATTATCCTTTTTTATATATTTGAGAAAGCCAGGATATTAAGAGGATAAGATTAACCCTGTCAAGTATTAAAGACATTTTCCTCTTGTGCGCACAAAACTGCTCATCCAGTGTTTAGCCCTCAGACACACTCAAGGTGTGGTAAGAGAACCACAAAGCAAATTTTCTCTTTGACATAACTCAGCAGGTTTGACTACTGCTTCAAGATCATGACAACATCCAGACTGAGTCATAAAGAATTACCTTCAGCCACAAGCCCTGCAACAAATGGTCTAAACCCCCCAGAGTCCTGATCTCATCATCTTGGAATCAGGTCTGGGATTACACGAAGAGACAGAAGACACTGAGAATCTAAATCTACTGAAGAACTGGGACAAGTTCTCCAAAAACTGTGCATAAGTTCATCCAGGAGAACTGGTTTAATGCGAAAGTGTTGGACTTCTGTAAAAAGTGTGCATGGGTTCAGCTTTATTCCTTTTATCTCTGTACATTAACTCTAGCTTTCCTTCTGGAAATTCCTTCTCCGTTTAATACACTGTGCAAAATAATGTCCTGCATTTAAGTGTTACAGCCTTTTTTCAAACACTTTCACCGTCTTTCTGTACATCTTCCCCTCTGTTCTCACTAACTTAAGAAAACCTGCACTGGTTTTAATTGATTCTGTACGAAATCTCTCTAAAACTTTCTCTAAAATTTACTCTGTGTTCAGTCTGAAAACATCTATAGAGGGACAGTGGAAAAAAAAAAAAGCGCAAAATACTTGCAAACAATAAGAGGTGAGGTGGTGACATGCAACATGAGTCCATTAAATTAGTTCAAGCCAAGTGCGAGTGCAGAAAAGAACTCCTGGTAATAAACAAAAAGTCTGACTCTGTATCTCTGAGCTGGTCACGGACTTCCCAAAGTATCCATAGTAGCGTATGCATCCATTTCATCACTGCAGCTTCTTAAGAGTTGTCCATGTACTGTGTCGTGTCCTGAAGAGGCACTGACGCTGATGACCTGTATGACGTAACACATGGTACCGTTATATTTGGGACATCCCGGTCTGACGGAGAGGAAGGGCCGAGCAGCTCAGCGGAGGATTAAGGATGTTTTCACTTTCAAAGCAGCAGCTTTGATCCCGTGCCAAAGTCTAACCTCTTCACCAGCCTGCAATGCAACACACAGACAGTTTCTTTAGTCAGTCCTGCTTTACTCACAGGATTTTAACATAAAACATGCTTACGTCAGACATAATTTGAAGCCCTATGCTGGGTTCAGATTACAGAAATGTAAAATAGGATAGCATTACGCAAATACAAAGGAAAAATTCAGATATACTCCTCTTTCTTCTCAGACATGCACCACACTTCAAGATTTTAAAATTTTGGCACATCACAGTCTACAGAATATGAAACTTGTCATACCAGGGGGAGCAGTGCACCAGCTCACAAGGTTTCACAGAGAAGCAGATACAAATAAAATGAAGACTGCAGTGCAACAACTTGCTAAAATGCTACCCAAAAAAAACAGAAAGCAGAAGGCTAAATAACATCTGGATGAGAAAATGGTTAGTCCAAATAGGTTGTGTCTAGCTTTAATATCTGTCTGCCAGCTAAAATGAGCCTGATCCAGATTGTATGTAGTCAATATCAAACACGTTTGATATTGTCATAGCAGCCGAAAAGATTCTGCGAGCAATTCTGGAGCTTTAGGACTTCATCTGTAAACCCCTTACTAGACCAAATAACGTTGGCCGAACATCGGTTCACACTGAAGACCAGATTTCTCAGACGTGTCATTATGATGGCCGCACAGTGCAGAACAGAGAACCTTACCCCTTGTTGTAGAGTCCATTGGTAGGATGGCTGTCTGAGTTGTTCTGGCCCACTGCCACGCCCTGTCCACCAGTTCTGCGACTAGCTGTCTGCTCGTTGACATAGTCCCGACACGATGCCAGCTTAGACTCCAGGTTCTGCAAACAGTGATTTAAAAAAAGTTTTTTTAAATTCTTCTGTAAACTCTTTAGTCTGCTGTTGTACCACAGCAACAATTCTACCATCCCTGTGTTGCTAATGTTTAAAACCAACACATCTGTTATCATGAGGCATTAAGACAAATCTAATCTGCAGCAATACTGTCACCAAAATACAACTGGAACAAATTGTCTTTATTTTTGTGTTTTCGATCACTTAGTGCAAAGTAAACACAAGGCACAGTTGAGCCAAATGACAATGACATTCAAGTTATACATTGTGTTTGTTCTAAAGATTACCATGAGCTCTTCAGTGGACACAGCTTGCATTGCGTTTAACAGACAGAACACAATCAGAAGCATCCTGTCGCATCACATGATGCGTTATTGGTTTAAAAAGCTTAAACATGGATCTTACCCCGACTTTCCTCAGGAGCTCTCCAACAATGTTCAAAGCAGAGATTCTCGCTGACGTGGTGAGGGGAGTCGCTGAAAGGCTTTCACCTGGAAATGAAGCAACTGATGAAGACAAGCACCTCAATGGACAAAAGGGATGAGCACAGCTAATTAGCCTGGGGTATAAATTCTGGTGCATTGGTTCATACTACATACCAGCCCCTACACAAATAAACAGTAATAAATAAAAATGCATATTGATGACAATTTGCAGTAGAAACATTCAGTAGTATTACTGTTTACTTTGCCGGGTACGCCGGCTGATTTTAAGTTTCAATCAACAGCTCATTAGCTTTTTTCTGTTTATGGAAATGTTTTGTATCCAGAAGCGTCTTCACTACTACAGCAACGTGTACTGTCAACTATGTATACACATTAATATTTGTCACACTGGAAAAAAAAACACATTGTAAGTACAAAACAGAAAGTTCTAATTGATAAGAACCTCTTTTGGATTTTTGATTCTGGACAGTCAGTGCACTCAAACTAAAGTTTAAAGACTGGAATAAACAAAACAAACATTTTGAAAGTGTCAGGAACATTCTTGCATCCCCAATGGAAATGACACTCTTGGATATAAAGGTGTGTCTCATAATAGCACCACATGCATGAACTAACCTCTGCTGACAGAGGGTGGTGGGGTGGCGAAAGGCTCTGTGGAGGCTGGGGGTCTGGACGGTGTGGAGGGAAGGGGCTGGTTAGAGGAAGAAGATGCAGTTTTGTCTTCTGTTGTTTTGTCTGGGGGGGTGAGAGGTGGAGTGGGCAACCCAGTGGAGGACGAGGAAGAAGGCTCTTTGACTGTGCTGCTGATGGACGGCTTCCTGTCCTGTACCTGCTGCTTTTGCTGCACCGCAAGCTCCTGCCTCAGGTCTGTCACACAAACGCAAACAAATAGAGGGCAGTTACAGACATGAAATGAAGACCTTTGAAACCATGTAACAAACTTCTAAACAATAAGGAAGGATTTTAAACCAGGTGATCAAATAGATCAGTGAGGACCAGTCCCTACTCAGTGCATGTAACTCATACAGGTGTGGGGCCAAAAACTTTCTTGAAAAGAGTCAAATAAGGTGTTCCAATGTTTAGATTAAAATTAGTTGGTGTGGACTGATTTATACACAGACAGACAAGGTAAATATCAGGCACACCACTGCGACCAATGAAGATCTTAAGTTGCACTTGACAGATTTTTGGTTGCACTTACAATGTGAACCTTTCTTTTTTTTTTTGACCACCCCTAATTTTTGATTCCATCAGTTGAGTGTTTGGATTATACAAGCTTGTCATATTTGCCCACTTATTACATCATCTCACACAAGCAAAACTCTACCTCTGGCTTCATCCTTCAGTCTCTGGACGGACTCTAAAAGATTCTCCTTCTCATCCAGCTCGCTTTCAAGGAAGGCGTTTCTCTCTATAACTTGGTTCATTCTCTGCTCAAAATCCTCCAGTGACATGATAGTCGCCCTGAAAGAGACAGAGTACCAGAAAAAACACAGGGAGGTGTTACTGTGAGTTGTGAAATCATGTCATTTCATCCCTAATAAAGTTGATATGTTATTTACTGTGTTCTACTCAGAAAAATAACTAACTTATACTCATGCTGATCTCTTATTCAGAAACACTTCACTGTATAATTGTCTCATAAAGCACCTGTTTCATTTTTCTGCAATCTCACTATTTGTACTGTAAACCTTGTACTGTGAAAAGGCAGCTGGTGAAGCAACAGATCATGTATACGTCCTTCAAAGTTAAAAATTAGTCAAACTTTCGACAGTAAAGGGAAAACACAGTGACCATTATGGACCAGCTGCTTCGTTCCCCTTTGCTTTTACTGCTACTTAGCCCCACAAACACGGCTAAAGGTTGTTTAATCTGACTGTGAAAGTCACATGGATATAAAGTTACTTTATTAATCAAATTTTTAGAATCATAGAGCTTTAGCCCCTCTAATGTGTTGAAGAGGATTAGTCTCCTGACCTCTTGGCCCTCTCCAGGTCATCATTGGCCTGCTCCAGCTCTCTGATATATTTGTGAAGCTGGTCTCTGATGGCAGTGGTTTCAGCCAGGTCTCCCTCCAGGTGGGAAATTTGCCGGCAGGCCTCAGAGTGCTGCGTCTCATATTTATCCTGGCAGCAGTCAGGAGAACATAGAAAAAAAACGGAGAGAATGTGAACCAAAAAAAGTCAGAATATGAAAGCTGAAGAAAATGAGGAGAAGTGACTGGCTAAATATTGAGATTAAGCTTGAACTTCCACAAATATTGAAGAGGATAACTTTCAGCTTCAAAGCATAGGCTTAATAGCCATGAATTTCCTAAAAAAAACAAAACAAAAAAAAAACTGTCACAAACCATAATCCTAGTGATTAAAATGAAAGTCAGCTGATTAAAGATGTCATACTAGCTCATTTAAAAACCCATTCCCAGAACCAACACCCTCCGGTGCACATACAGAATAACTAAACAGAAGAAAAGATGACTTGTTTTTCTGCTGCACTGTGTTAAGCTTCAGCATGCTTTGCCCAAATTCAATGAATTTTCTGCATACTGCACACACGTTCTGTAAGATGCAGCCCTTTCACTGCTCAGACAGCATCTACCATTTTAGTTGTATATGTTGTAGTACCTGGATTTTAAGATCAGGTATAAAGTATCTCTGACTACACCCCAAAATTGGCCATCAAGCCTGAACTTAACAGCAAATATCAAAGTGTGGATTTTTGTGTGTGTATTCTCTCACCACAAAACACATAAGTTTGTTTTTGGTCTGTGTATCACAATCATCTAATAGTTTACAGTGGTTAACAAAAGTTACTATGAATGAGGACTGACGTGGGCTTTCTACATTGACACAGAAACAAAGAACTGATGCAGCTACAGAAATAGCTTCTTATATTAAGCAGTTTAAAAGCAGCAACCAGCAGCTGAATCACAAGAGACTAGAGCCGATGTGAACTCTTTTAAGCTTCAACTATTGTAACGTTTAAACCAGTATGGAAATTCCTCCATTTTGTTAACAACACATTGATCCATCGCAATATTAAAACCCCAGACAGGTGACGTGAACAACATGTAACTGTGAAATCTTACGTCCTTGTGGTCATGTAGATGTTTCTTTGTGACATACCACCCACCTACACGTTGCTGCAGATGAAGCTCAGCCTCATAGTAATGGCACTCTAATGACAACAGTGCATCAGGGCACAAAACCTCTGGAGAATTTATAGCTTTCCAGTGTTGGGCACCGTTGATAGAGAGTATGTACACATCAAAACACATCCAAAGTCTGGCAGCGACTACTTCTATGGTGAATTATAGAAGGTGTAGACGACCAAAAATTTCTTTCCGCACTTTCTCCTCAAAACAAGCATTCATTTTGAGCGCCACTTGTTTTCTGGTGCATGTGAAGATGTGCTTTCACAAGTTTTGGGCTGTACATAGACCCTTGTGAACTTGACAAAATGTCTTCACACAGACACTTGCGGGTGTGCAGAAAGCACATACAGGTCTTTAGCAGTCTTAGGACAGTGACATGCATGCTAGCAAAGTATGATGTGAGGTTACCAGCCATGGGTATTTGTTATGGCATTGCACATTATTGTTTTTTAACCTCTCTTGCGCTCACAGAATTTTTAAAACCCCAAAAACGGCATTGAGGGCAGCCCTACAAAAGGCAAGCCCTCCACTGAAGCAATGTGAACATAACCCTAAGCTCTAACAAACCAAATCTTCATTTTCCTGCAGCATAACCAGCTCTTTTGAACATTAAATCAAAATGCAGCGCATGTAATGTGTGACACAAACTGGAAGGTGTGCAACTATGTGTTACAATGGCTTGTGCAGCCAGCAATGACCTCACTTTCAGTCCACACAGCATGGCACTAAGGGCACTGCACAAAGAATGATCAAGGCTTTAAGAAACAACATTTTTTTCCCAAACAAACTATAACTCCAGTATGTTTTTTGTCTACATATTTTGATAAAGCCTGTTTTTGCTTTTCAATCGAAAAGAAAGAAGAGGTTCATTCTTTCTTTTAAAATGCCAATGCACTATGTTTTTAGCAGCGGGATAATCTAATGATATTTTTAAAAGGAGGAGACTGCGGGCCGAACAAACTGTGACTGGAATGGGTCTTATGGGAAGTACTGCCATCCCCTCCAGACACAGTGACTGCAGGAGTCATCAGCTGCCTTTTTCTGCTCTGAATCAATCCTCTGTGAAAGTGAGTGTGCGTGTTCAGACAAGAGAACCAGTGAAACCCATTTACTGCAGGCAAACCAGTGCCATAAAACATGACCTGCTATCAGCTGACACATATGAAAATCCCCAGTTAGATATACATGAAAGTTGGCTGGTTGGTTCGATGTAATTTAAAATGCCTTTGCAGCTCTGGACATCCCTTTAAGGTTTACACTTTAATGTAGGTCATAAAACCATGTTGAGACAATTAATTGTACATAAGACGCTTGTCAAAGCCTTCTGGAGGAATACATTACATGGCTGCTACATCTATCCTTGTGCAATGAGACTCAACTGCCTTTTCCCATCAACAATTCACCTTTTGAAATGTCTCATTTATTTAACTTAGAGTTTGATATTTAATATCTTGTGCGGTTTAAATCTTTTCTCTCCATCTTAGTTCTGAGTCTTGGTTTATAGTGTTTTGATGATAGTTAGAAATTTAATACGGAGATTATTTGAATTTTCTGCCAGACTCTAATAACTGATAATGTCTTCTGTACCTTGTAGTTTTCCAGCTCCATGCGCATGCGGTTATTGGCAGAAAGGAGCTCCCGGTTTCGCGCCTCACACTGTTTCAGCTCCGTCTCCAGCTCAACCTCATAGTCCCGACTCATCTGCTGAAACTCCTGCAGTTCCTCCTGGGCTTCCTCCGCACTGAACACACACACAGATGCAGATTGTAAGCCATGTGTTTATTACCATTGGACTTTTACACAACAAGCATTCCAACTAGTACTTACATTGGTTTATTAGTTAGGATTTTCTGGTGTTATATAGAAATAAACACACATAATTACACTCTGGTTTGAAGAAAAACAGAAAGACAAAGATGCTGTTTAAGAGGAAAATGTGCCAGAATTCATGTAAACCACACGTATTTGGACTAACAACATAACCTGATCATATTCCACACAATCACAGGGAGAGCTGGGCATTGTGGGTTAAGCACAAGAGTTTTCAAAATGTGTTTAATAGAAATACACAAAAAGGTTTTTAATTGTTTGCACAGCAGGAGTGTCTGCAGACAAGCATTTGTATTAACTGACTGTGGGAAAAGAGAACCGATACTTATTTACAGATCTCTGGAAGTCCTGAAAGATTATACGTTTTTCTTCTGTTGTGCACAAGTTGCTATCTTGTTTGCTCAGCATATTGACTTATATAACAATAGAAAAACTATTACTTTTCAGAACATCAGCTGCTCTGTGATTTATTCAGAGTGCCTTAAAGGTAACGAGACACCTCCAAAAACATGAAATACTGCAGCAAGCTTTCACAAAGGGTCCTTCTTTACCAGAAAAAGATAACAGTCCAGGGAAAATAGCATGTGGGGCTTTTAATATGTTCATATCTAAAATGCATAACTATAAGGTGACAGTGTTAATATGTGGCCCAACTTTATGTGAACACAGTTGAACCCGTTTCTGCCTCGCTATATCTTCCTGGTGGAGAAACTACAGGAACATCATGAAATGAATGAAAATGAAAAATACTTTATTCATCCCAGAAGGGAAATTCAATAATTGAATTGAAAAATAATTCAATTGCAATTCAATCATTGCAAATGCATGTAGATCTTTTTAAAACAACAAACAAGGGACACACCTCTGTTGGTGCCTGGCAGCCTGTTCCTTCCAGTACTCCAGCTCTTCCTCCAGGGACCCAAACTCTGGAGGCTCCGGATCCCCCATCTCCGGTCTAGGCTCTTCTGTCACAACCCAACACGCCTGCGGTTAATTTTACATCAAGGCATTTAGTCAAGTTTCGATTAGCATAAATTACTATCGTTGAATTTTGGGTCAATGTTATACCGGCTAGTGGAGAACTCATCATTTACAATGTGAATATTCACGTTATTCGGCAAATCCGTAACCCATCAACCAGCAAAGGCGTGACATAACTTCTCAGCTTCCACAGTTTGATCGTCACAACTATCTGGCTGTGCTTAGTTAGGAAGGATACCGGTATTACTGGGAGAAAAAGTTTCAACCTACAATAAATACTGTTTATTTGAATATTGGATTTATGCCGAATTGAAGTATATATTCGGTTCGTCCACATAACAGCTTCATGTACGTCAAATTCAATAAATATAACTCAAGCAACACCAGAGATAAATTGTGTACAAAATGTATACGGAGTCTGGCCACCGTTAGCTGAAGCAAAAAAAAAAAAAAACGGGAACCTAAAGTAGAAGTTACTAAAAAGGTAACGGAAAACTTAAACCCGTGTTTTGTTTATTAGAAGCAACGCCTGTTTGTATACACATTGCAGAAGCTTAGCTACTAAACCCAAAACTTAGTATAAGAAAGTCAGACGAATTCAAACACATTAAAGCGAGCTAGCTCGGCTAACGGCGTTAACCATTTAAATCCCAGCTGTGACAAACACACCGCTACTACAATTTACACTCAACAGTTGGCTTAGTTCGACGCAAAGTTAAGCGATTTTATATTTTTCTAGGTCTTCCACATATGTTCATATTACTACCAACAACGTTTGACGGGTAATTTTAAAGACAAATCGATAAAATAAAACTATTTGACGGACTTGCCTTGAGTGGGACACCACAAAGTTGCTACTGCTTCGGGAAGACGTCGAACAATAAATGTTGCCATTCATATTGTCCGGACCGATTGACCAATCACAAGTTACATGACAGCCTCGTTGCCTAATACGATTAGTCAACTACCTGTCAATCACACAGTGATAGGCGGGATCAGGATTATCGTCCAATCAGAGGGCTACCTGCATAACCGCACAGTCTAGGCGTTTTGATGGATTACCAGAGGGTGGTGCTGCCTTCCAGTGCTGTGGGAAACTTGTGCTTATTTTTAATATAATATGGAAATCAATTGTTTATTTATGCCTTTTGCGGACAGGGGGTTTATGTATTAGGCTACAAACTGCTTCCTATCACTCAGCAAAATCTTTGAATTATGTAGACAAAAAGTTCAGATCAAGGATTTTCATATCATTTGTGAGATGGTGCAAACCACAGTGTAGTGATAACAGCATCAAACTACTTGCCAAAGAATTGTACTGTTTTTTTATTTTATTATTTACAAATCACATATATGTGTACAAAGTATGCTGTTTTCCTTTCAAAATACCTGCCAACTACCTTTAATATTATTTAACAGCACCAAAAAAAAAAAAAAAAAACTTTTTTGTGTATTTTATAGTACAAAATTGTGAAAAAACATTGCTCAACAAGAAAGTGTGTCGCATTTTAAATCCTCTACTCCCACCCACAACCTTCCTCCTGTTATGCATCTGCTCACTTGCATGGTGGTTATGCTTCTGAGGGTGACTGAAGGAGAGTGTGTTAAATGGCACCTGACAGCATCCTTGACTCTGATTGGGGAATTCCACTTCCTGTCAGTGGGGTCAGAGGTCAAACTGGGTCAACTCTGTCCTTTTCAGAGGGATTAAGCAGGCCTATCTGATCCTGGTTAATCCACACGCACCATCACTAGAGCATAAAGCCGTTATACACACACACACACACACGCAAACTCCAATCCACTGTGTCCTTGCTTCATATCTGGACTACATGTTTTCACTGAGTCTTGTCTACACTGACAGCAGATTACAAACATCTGCGACCTTCACTGACATTAGAGGGAATTTAGTTAAAGGGATAGTTTTCGTATTTTTAAAATATTCTTATTTACTTTTCTTTTCAAGAGGGAGATTTTTTTTTTTAAAAATGAACATTGTGTTTGAACTCTGACCTGCAGTCATGATGTGGTTAGCCTAGCTTAGCATCAAGAGTGGAAGCTGTAAGCCACACTCTGCCCAACATTAACCCCGCTGAGCACCTAATAACATTATCTAGTTTAATTTGACGGAAAAGAAAAAGATTTCAGTTCTGTGGTACAACCAACTTTGCAAGCATATGCCTGGCAGTAATGTCTTAACTCTGTGGCTAGAATGCTGCTTGCCATATAGAAAGTATTCATCTACTTTACTTCAGCAAAGCAAGTAATAGCACTCCATTATGAAAAAAACTCTTGTATTCAAAAATGTTCTTAAGTAAAATTATCTGTAAAATTCACTTCACACATAATTAGTTTTCACCACTGGTATTGTATTACTGGATTCTTATTCCTAACACATCAACAGCATTTAAGTGTTGTATGTTGTATGTAAAACATTGTATGGCATTACGCACATTTATAGCCATGCTAGCAGGATGGTCGTGTTGATTGAAATATCTCAACAACTACTGGACTGATTGCTGTCAGACATTGTGTAGATGTTCACAGTTGCCAGCAGGTGAATCCTACTGTTTACCACACCATAAGGTTCACACAGGCCCACTGTCTGTGGAGGTGAAATGATGCAGATAGCCCAGCAGTGGGAAATGCAAAGATTTTGGTTGATCCTAAAATGTGAACAAGTATGACAAGTGGATGAGGGGTCCAATTTATTTATATATCAATTGAATTTCCCTTCTGGGATGAATAAAGTATTTTTCATTTTTCATTTAGAAAAAATTGTTCCCAGCATCCATTATTCCTAATGGCTGGCTTGTTTTCCTATTTTTGGTTTTGAGTGAAATGTCCAATTGTTGGATGGATGAAATTTGTGCAAAACTCAAAATGTGTGTTAAATCCAGCACTTTGCTCCCTTGACATTTCTATTAGCATCACAAATTTCCCATTAGCGTCAGCTGTAGTTTGTGTTTAGTGCGGTTAGCATGTTGACATTAACATTTATCTCATTACATTATCACATCAAGTTCAGCCTCGCAAAGCAGGCATGGTCACAGATTCTTGGTCTTCAGTTACCAGGTATTGTCTGTCTACATTAAGTGTTTCAATTAATCTTAATCTTCTCCAGGAGCTGGTTCAACACCTTGTCTGTGCTACAATCTCATTGTTCATGGCTTAGCTCTGACACAATTTCCCCATCAAATCTCGTTCAAATCTGTGCTCATGCCGTAATCCCATCTACTAAACAGAATAGAACAGAGCTGTTTGATCGGTTTATTGGTTTCAGGTTGACTGTCTGGACCTTTGTCAATAGGACATATGAGAGTTCCAACAACAAAGAAGCATCCTAGTTATGAAAATATCAAAGTACCAGCACAACAAAATATTTGAGGTTCTCACAGTTTGCTGTAAACCAGTCACCCTACTCCTAAAATATGAACTTTTGTACACTGCTTTGAAAAATATTGAACATTCTTTGAGGTTTAATGTTTGTTTTTATACACAGAAAAAAAGAAATCAGTGTTGTTATTCAGTCAACAGTTATCTACTAGAAGGGCTGCACCCAAATCAAGTACAATTTTTCAGCTTTTATCTTCGGGTATAGTATGGGTATATCCAGCAATACAATCATCAAATCTCTTTGATAAACAATAATTAAAGTGTTTAAGCTTTGCTAAAAATAAACGAGTGAGTTATGAGTCTGGCTCAGGTAAGTGATGCGGTACACAATAAGGTATCTGGGCTGATGGCAACCTATTAGATGGTTCAAGTAAGAGGACAGGATTGAGATACTGTATCTTTACATCTCAAACATAGGAGACACAACACAAGTAGGATGCATGGATACATATCTTTTGCATTTTTTACATTATGGGCTTGTTTGATTAAGTATGCTGAGCATATTGTTGGACTTTTCAGGGAAATGTACTTAATTGCTTTTTTATGGAGAGTTAGAGTAAGTTAAGTAGTTTACTTATATTAAACCACAGTCAATAGACAGTAACTAAAGCTCAGTAAGGGCTTTTCTTTTGTTTAATCTCAACAAATATGCTGCAGAAACAGTATATCTGTAGTTGTAGAGTGACATATTTGAGCTTTACAGGAGCGGATACCTGGATTTCATAAAGTTTTTGACAAATCTGCTGTAGTTAATACCCCCTGCTTCCAGTCTTTTGGCTGTGGGCTATTTAGTGTTTAAATTTTCTCTTCTAACTGACAGCAATTAAAGAGCAATTAAAGCCAATATTTCCTGAAAAAATATCTCCGCCTTTGTCCAGCACAGACTAACATATCTAAAATTACTGCAAATCTTCACCACCCCCAGAGGATGCCACCAAATGATATCTTTCTTTCATCAAGTGCCACCACCACAACCAGTTTTCTCACTTGTGACAAAGTGTTGAAAACTCCTGTAAATCTGATAGAGAAGTTCATTATTTCCTTCTGTTTCTGTTGGCCACACTGACCTTTCCTCTAGCACCATCATCAGACATTTTCAAAGTTCTTTTGGGCAGAATATTGAGCACAGTCACACTCCCCAAATGATGAACCTTTTTGATTTTCTGACATCAGCCTTCAGTGTATCCCAAAAGAAATTCAGTTTAAATACGCACAAAAATATATACATACACACCTCATTGTATTGATTGTTACTAATGACTGTTACCAGTCTGCCAAACACTGCAAGCTCACAGACCTGTTGTCAGGGCAGTTTTGTCATCAAGAAAAGGCACGACAGGCGTTAAGTGGAAAATCAAGCCCTTAAATGTGGTCTCAGTCGCTGCAATGCACCGTGGGCTCAATTCAAACCAGTGCCACCAGCACAACAACCAGCCACGGCCTTCTATCACAACTGAACTGCCCATTATGGCCATTGGCCCAGTCTCATTTCAGCTGAAACCATTGAGGTTTAGCGTCAAAGTCATCATTTTTGCATCATTGCTGCTGTAAACAATGTGTAGCAAGCTTTAGCACTTGGCCCTAAACTTCACTTTGGCCATTTTGGTGTTGGTCCAGAGAGGAATATATCAACAACTCAGTCCGGATACGCTCCCTGAGGATGAATCCTGTAAATCCTGGTGACCTCCAGCAGCTTTGTTAGGCTAATATATTCTCTTTGATAGAACAAATGTGCAGATCTAATAAACTGACTGACCTTCACGCTCCCCTGAGGATGAACCCATTTCATTTTAATGACCCTCCTGACCTTTTCTCCAGGACACCCTCAGGAAAAGATAATACTTTTTAGCTCTAGCACTGATGATGCTTTAAAAGTAGAATAATTCTTTATATATTGTTTGTCTTAGCCAACACTTTATGGGTTACAATTAAGACTACAGCTTGTTTATGGTTTTAGATCGTCTTATTGTAATGCATTGGGTGTTTCTTTGGTCTGTTTAGCTGTCTGGAATTACATTTTCATAACTTTCGAGGGCTTGCACCTGACATTTAGAGTCAAAAAGAATCTTAAAGCGCTGGATCTCACTCTCCACTCTTAATCACAGTGGCCTTTGAAATCTACATCAGTGACTTAAAGACACTGTTTTCATTCACTCTTCAGCTTTCAGCTCTCCACAGTGCTTTGAGTTTGTGGGTGCTGGTTTACCAAATTGAAATAACCCCTCTGTCCTGCTGTCAAAGCTCAAAGGCCTGGATGACAGACGCTGTGTCCTCCTCCCCTATTTAGTTTTCTCGCTGGGCTTTTTGCTTCTTTCTGGCCAGTCGGGCCTCACGCATCTCCTCCAGAGTTTTACGGGGGTCCATGACAAATGCCAGAGCCACGGCGGCAGTGCCATCACCATTCTGCCGTGAGAAACACAAGAAGGTGGCCCACAGGAAGGCGCAGCAACCCATGAAGGCCGTTCGCATGTGCAACGGCATCAGGACAAAGTTGAGAAACTGTAA